CTCCCAGCTGATCCACCATTGGTCTGGTGAGCCCACCATGTGTTTTGTGACATAAACTAGAATGGATCCAGAAACATGACAGTGATTAGAAACGACAGTTACACACTGTTCTCGACAAGGATTTGGGTTTGCCCTTGCAAATGGCAGCACAGGGAAGAGTGGCTCAGGCTCCAGGTCTTTCAGGGGCTGACAGGACTCGGGTGAGTAGGTAGGTGGGGTGCTTAAGCCTTGGATACTTGAAGAAACTACAAGCCCCTCTGGTCAAGAAAAACAAGAAAACTTTGTTCATTGCTGCTATCTACGATCTGGTTCCCTAGAGCAAATGCTGAGGTGAAGATTGGTGTTCAAGTGGTTCAGGAAATGAGCCGGATTTCAAAGCAAAGTGATGAAGGACTGAATACCAGGCACAGGTGCAATCTGAGGTGAGGTCCCAGCCTGGGCTCACAGGTGTTCTGGAACATTTCCTTACACTGCACATCTGCCCCACTGAGAGGCAAGAAGTCACTGGGTCTTCACACTTGTGCCCCAGTCCTGAGTCATGACCTGGGCTACAGGTCAGACTGGGGACCACTTCAGCTGTCAGAGAGTAGAGGCAAATTGGTTCCATTTTTCTCATGGATCCTCTGAGGTGGGTTTCAAGTGAGAGCTGTTAGGAGCAAAATGCAAGCGGAAGTTGTGGACTAAGAGCCCAGAAACATCAGCGGGATCCAGAGGAATGGGGCGAGCATCTACACCATCAGTTATAGTTTCCCCTCCAGGCACAAGTCTCTGAAGTTTTTATATTTTATTGACTTAACTATAGGAAAAAATATTATCCCCTCTAACCTTGGCCCTCTGATGATCAATGAGTTAGTAGCCTCCCCCCCTTTTCATCTTTAATAAGCAGTGCTGCTGTCACATATACTATTCTGAAATAATTATCCTTGCCAGCCTCTTTTTCTCAAGAAAGTGTCCTATAATTAATAAAGAATTATATACTCTGCTTTGCGTGTCGGGTCGTGGAACTGCATGTAGGTCAATACCTTGTTAATAATGAGCAATGGCTTCTATTCCACGTCAGGAGCTCTGTGTGGAGCAGATAGACGACACATTCTGCTGACTCTCTGGAAGGGTCTAAACCACTGGCCATCTTTTAGCTGCCTTCTAATTTTCCCTTCCAGATTTATTTAATCAAGGTAAAGAATAATTCAAAATGGAGATAGTTCCCAGGACTCAACAGCCACATTAGCAAACGTGGTCCGTGAAGGGGGACTTTGTTACCCTTGAAAAATGCTTATGCTGTCTATCAGAATTAATGGAGGTCATTGTGCCTGTGAGGACCTACCTACCCAAGGTGGAGATGTGATCCTTCAGAATTGAGCTCCCTGTTAAATTTAAAATACTCTGTAGGAGGTTTGGAAATACATACTTGCTTTTGGGAACGTCTTTCCAAAAATTCATTTCCAAAATAGGATTAGAGTTATTCTTAAAATAAAATCCCAGATTTACTGTTTTTTAGGAGCCGGTTGCCTGCCTGCTTTGTTTCCTTTCTTTATTTTTATTTTATCTTGCCTTTTATTCATCAGTCATTTATCGAGTATTCACTGCGGGTCAGGCACAGTGGTAGTGGATAGTTGGGAATAAAATATAGGAAGTCTCCCCTTATTGAAGTTTTCATTCTAGAGATGGAGACTGAAATTAAGTACACACACTGAATTTATAATCCATGGAAAGTGCTATGGAGGCAATACAGTGAGCAGAGGCAAGAGAGCAACCACAGAGGCCACAGTGGGTGGGAGGTGTCTTTTGGGAGCTGCCACTGGGAGAAGGAGTCAGTTAGTTCTGCAACAGTCTGGATGTAGAATTGTCTGCATAGAAGGAATAATTAGTGTGGAGCTCTCATATCAGCAACTAGCTGAATGTGCTACAGAGAAGGTGGCCAGTGTGGCTGGAGAGGCACAGGAGGAGGGTGACCATGAAGCCAGAGAGGACAGCAAATACCAGTTTATTTGAGACCCCAGAGCCCACAGGGAGGAGATGGATTTTGGAGAATTCTTTCAAGGGTTTTAAGTCAAAAAGTGACTTGATCTGATTTATCTTTCAAAAGATGGTTGCCTTCTTTGTGCTGTGATTATGTGAGTAGAAGCAGAGAGACAGGTGGACAAGGACAGCAGACACAGTGGCCAGGGACGCCAGGGACTCTGCAGGCACTGGGGAGAGGGACACAGGACATCAAACTTTGCTCGGCCTTAAATTTTCCTGTCTGAAAGATGAGGATGACATTCACTTACCTGCCACACTGTGTTCTCATGAGGATCAAATGCATCAATATATTTTTAAAAAATGTTATTGAGACAATGTTTGTACATCTTTATAGGGTTTATTATTGTTAGTTCAATGTATGTGCATAACGTGTGATGACAGCATAATAAATATTTCTCTTGGAACACTGATCTTTTTTATGGACTGGAAATTTCATACTCTTCTAGTCACTCTGAAATATACCATAGATGGTTTAAATCAACTATTACCCTACTGTCCTATGGAAGAACCTGAACTTATTCATCTTCTGAATATTTTCTATCTCATATACTTTGTTTTCATGTTCCCTTGCCTCTTGACTTTCCCTGTCTCTAGCAATCACTATCCATTTCCTTTTTCAGTGAGATTGACTTTATTAGTCTCTACAAATGAGAACACGTGGTATTTGTCTTTGTATACGTGACCTATTTCACTTCATATAATGACCTCCACTTCCAGCCATGATCTTGCAAATGACAGAATTTCATTCTTTTTTTTTTTTAGTTGTAGACAGACCCAATAACTTTATTTTGTTTATTTAATTTGTTTATGTGGTGCTGGGGATCCAGTGCCTCACACATGCTAGGCAAGCGCTCCACCACTGAGCCACAACCCCAGCCCCAGGATTTCATTCTTTTATGACTGAATAATATTCCACTCTGTGTGTGTGTGTGTGTGTGTGTGTGTGTGTGTGTGTGTGTGACATTTTCTTTATCCATTCATCTGCTAATGGACATCTAGGTTGATTCCATATTTTTGCTATTGTAAGTAGTTAGAAACATTAGTATTCACCTCACATAAATTTCTCCTAATAATTTTGTGTAAATAGTAATAAATATATGTCTATTTTTTTCTGTTACTATTATTGCATGTAGAAGGGACAAATCCAGGATGACAGCTGGGCTGAAGACTGAACAATGCAGCCTGCTGTCCATGGGCATGGTAATATCCTGGGGTACTTTAAAGATGAGGAGGCTCTTGATCTAATTGTGCTGCTTTTCATGCTGACCACAAGCCAATAACTTGCTTAACTTTGTCTCACCTTGCCTTATCTACACCTAGGGCACATAACGACTACCCTTTCTGTAAACTTCCAGTGGAGATACTATGTTAGTTAGCTTTGCATCACTGTGACCAAAATATCTAACAAGAACAGCTTAGAGGAGGAAACGTTTAGTTTGGCTTATGGTTTTAGAGGTTTAGGCCATGATCAGCCAACTCCATTGCACTGGATCCAAGATCATGGCGGAAGGGCATGATGGAGGAGCACTTCTTGATTCCTAGTGGCAAGGAAGCAGAGAGAGAGGTTTGCTAGCTGCATCCTACCTGCCTATAGTCACCACCAAGTACAGTAGTCTTTTCAAACCATTAAGCCATCAAATGGATTAATCCACTGATTGAATTATGACTCTTATAATCTGTTCATATAACCTCTATTTATGAATTTTCTCATACATGAGCTTTTGGGAGATCCCTCATATCAAAACTATAAACAAATATGAAGTTGAACTACACATTAAACCTAACAGTCTTTGCATTTCTCAATAGAGAAGTTATTACTTTGATCACAAATGAACAAGGCAAGAATGACTTCTGCAAAAAGGGACATGATTTTCAGCCTATAGTTGATGCAATTGAAATCCAAGTGTCCCCGTTATTTGTGGTTGTTTCTAAGGTGATGTGTAAGCAAGAACAAAAGAGGGGAAAACGGTTGCTGTTGGAACATTATCTGATAACATGGTCAGACCTGAGGAAAGAGGAGTAAGAATTAGAGCAGAAAGGACAGAGTCTAATGTAACATACAGAGGTCTTCTTCACTCTGCACACAAAAAAGAATAATGTGGAAAAATGTACTATTAAAAAAAAGTTCACAAGTGCAGAAATCACTTTCATGAACTCAGAAAAGAAATTTTCAATAAATGACTTTTTATTCTTGGAATCTGGAACTCAGGTTTAAATCCTGGTTCAGTTTACTAACAATTGTAAGCATATGATTTTGGGCTAACCACTAACTTTTCTAAATCCTAGCTTGCTTCTCAACAACATTTCACCTCACAGTGTTGTTGAAAGAAACCAACAAAGACCATATATGAAAAAAAATCTTTCTGTTTTTAGAATCATAGGTGTGTTATTATTATTAATAATCAACCAACTGAGAAGACAGAGGGAGCTATTTGGCTCTTGTCGTTGTTTTCATTCGAAGGACACTTTAAAGGCGTTGACCCTGGGAGAATCAGGGAGTTTTGTTCTATAATTTGGATAATAAGAGTGTGATCATTCAACAATGTCATGTAAATACAGGATTCATTTTAGTTTTGCCCTTCAAATGGTTCTCTTCCTTAAAGTGACCTGTTTGCAGAAAGATGGTACCTGTATCTTGAATTCGTCTTCTAAAATGCCTTATTATGCATGTGACTTTGGGTTAAAGGTGTCAAATTAGAATCGACTCCTTCTAACTTCTTGGGTGTCACTACTCCTCGTTCTTTCAGCCAGGGCTGTGGGCATTGGTGAAGGGAACAGGCTTCTGTCCTCTTGGCTGGCCTGAGTCACAGACCCTGAGAGCCTTCTGAACTGCATACAACCAACTTACTCTCAAGATAGCTTTCAGCGTAGTACCGCTCCATTTGAGTGAGAACACCAGGTTCTGTCGGAACAAACAAAACCTCCTTCCAAGCCCTCTTCATCTGTTCTTGCTCTCTCTCTCCCTTCGTTGTCCCTAGGGAAGTGTGAGATCGGCTGGGCCTACTACTGCACGGGAGCAGGTGCCGCTGCCGCCATGCTGCTGTGCACATGGCTGGCTTGCTTCTCGGGCAAGAAACAGAAGCACTACCCATACTGAGGTGGAGCCATCAGGAGAAGCCGAAGAGAAGACAGGCCACAGGGGCTGGAAGGGGCCAAAACTTCCAGCTACTTCTAAAAGGTGGAATAGTGGTTCTGATTCAATACCGTGCTAATGAAGGGAAACCCGATGGAACAAGGAACATTATACATGAAGGGAGGGTGGTGGGAGGCTGATGACAGAAATGGAGAATGATGGAGGAAAGAAAAAAAAATGGACCAAACAAAGGCTAAGAGTTGCAGGGTATCGGGTGTTTCTATTCCACACAATCTTGTCAGCATATATCGCATACACATGCAAAGCAAATCTATATATGCAAACAAGAATTTTGGTTGCTTTTTTTTTTTTTAATGGCAAGGACTTGGGAGAATCAAAAGGGCTAGTAGAAACAGTATTATGTGGGAAGCAGGGTACCCTACAAACGTTCCCTGTAGGTAATGCCACTCCTGAAAGCACACGAGCACACACGCAGATACACATCCACACATGCCCACGCAACACACGTAAATCATCACACAGACTGTGGGGGAGGGGTTCCCTAGTGCATTACTCCTCTGTTTTCTTTTTTACTATCCATTGAAAACACAGTATTATCCCTTTATAAAACATACATTTAACCTAATAAATGGACCAATATGCCACTGTATCAGTATTTTATTTATATCCTGCATAAACTCTTTAGCCACTCCACATGTTCTCAGTGTTTATGCAGACTTTTAGAGTTAAGCCTTCATATTTCAATATTATTCAAAGGTATGCAATATTTCTCTGAGTAGCTTCTGATATGATATTTTTATGAAGTCAAGGGGCAAATTTCTGTCCACTGTAGGAGAGACTTCCGTTGAGGAGATGAGAGTCATGAGAGACATTTTCCAATCATTAGATCTTGTTTTCTTTCGTCCATTATTGTACTGTGCTGTACCACATTTATTTCAATATTCATTTTGTAAAAAAAAAACAATTAAAAAGTGCTATTTTGTTTGTATTTGAAAAACTCTGTAAATAAATTTCTCTCTTTGTTCAATAGCTAGATGAATCCTAGAGTGTTCATTCAATTATCTGGTCTGTTTCTTTAATTTCTTCAATATAGCCTTCCAATTGCAACTGTCCCCTGTTAATCTTCCTCTTCTCTTAAGACCTCCCATTATATCACTCACTGATTATCCAACCAGGAATTGTTCTAGACACACAGTGTATTTAAGGTGAGACACAGTTTCCATTTTCAGCTTAAATTTTTTGCAACCAGCATTATAACTTCCTGTGCATTGAATTTCAGTCATAACCAAATTCTCAAAAGGATCTAGAAATTTGGGTCATTTAAGAAAGATTATCTTGTACTCCTGCTCATAGCTGAAAGCAAGACTTGACCAAGGAAAAGGGTTGAGATCCTTTCATGACCCTCCTAACAGAACCAGTTCTAACAGGAGCAAAAATTGCATATTAGATAATGGATACATTCTTATTAAGCAAGTCCGAGGTGTAGCAAATACTTACAAATTCGGTTTCAATTCGTTTCTAAATTACATGCTTTTCATATTTGAAATGGAACAGTATAGCTTTTTACACATGTGACTACATTTTCTATACTCTATATATAAATATTTATCAATTTAACTTAAACATCAAACTTCAGTTACTTTTAATCATTTCAGGGTGAGGATTCATGCTGCATTGTTCTTACAATGCAAGAATCTCACCAATAAAATTCTGGATTTTCTGAGGCTTTGTTGGTATAGAGAAAGTCATTCCACTCTCAAATGCTTCATTTATAACATGCTGAATGTCCTTTGATTGTGTCTCATTGTCTGCTGAGCAAGGGCTTCTCCACTCTGTGGTTTCCTGCAGAGAGGAGAAGATTGCACTTTGCTTCCTCAATTAGCCCATCATTTTCATGAATTGTTGGTGCTTTTCATTTTTTTTTTTTTAACCTGCACCTTCCTGTCAGAATAGTATTATGACTTTTCAGCTTCCATTATCTGGTCAGACTTCTCTATGGAATTCATCAAGGTTTCACTTCTTGGACATGCCTAACAATGGCATTGTCATTTTTCATGTAGTCCGTGTGATTTTAAACATCAGAGAGATTCATTAAAATAAAAAGCTGATCACTTTACATGCAAAGTCAAATGACAATCTCTTTGTGTTGCAAGTCCTAGCTAATCATAGGATTTTTTTTTCTTGCAGGATATTTTTGAGAAGTATCTAAATTATTAAGGATCTTATATATTGCTTTTGAAATGAAAATCAGGATTCATGAAACAATAACAAAGTGTGTGAAAAGTGTATCCAGATGCTCTTCAACTTATGAGGGGATAACATTCTGAGAAAACCATCAGAAAGTTGAAAATATTGTTAAGTCAAAAATGCAGTTAAGAACTAAGGGTGTATTTCAGTGGTAGAGCACTTGCCTAGTATGCATGAGGTCCTGGGTTTGATCCCCAGCTCACCCCACCAAAAATATTTTTAGCACATCTAACCTATCAAGCATCTTACCTTAGCCACACAGTCCATTGTAGGGTACCAGTTGTTTGCTCCAGTGTTGCATCATCCCTAGCCCAGGAAAAGATAAAAATTCAAAATGCAAAGTATAGTTTCTATTGAATGCACATTCACTATTTTAAAGTTAAAAAATATTAAGCCCAATATAAAGCCAAAAACCCTATCAACCAAGCTATTTTGAGGGGTACTATAGATATTCATAGCATTCTTATTTGTAAACACTTAAAAGAGAAAAGAAAAACCCCATTTTCATGGTTTCAAAAATTCCTTGCACTAGATGTGGTGGCATGCTCCTGTAATCCAGAGACTCAGGAGGCTGAGGCAACCTAGCGAGATCCTGTCTCAAAATTTAAAACATAATATAAAAAGGGCTGGAGATGTGTCTGAATGCCTAAGCACCTTGGGTTCAATCACTTGTATAAAACAAACACAAAAAACAAACAAGCAAGAAAACTTTTCATTGTGTATAAGTGGGAAGTTAACCTCATTTTCAGGTAGAGAAAAGGACATAC